TTTCCACAGAGTATTACGCCACTCACGTAAGATGGGTGAAACTTCATTATATAAACATATACAGACATTTTCTGTTTGATAGTTGCCGCTCGTGGGGTCGAACTGCGATCGTTTGCTCAGACACTCTGCGGCATTGGTATGAGGAGCTCCGACAAGACGAGTGGTATTTGAAAGATTGGAATTTCCAGTCCGAATGCGAGGGCCTGGGAATCGAACCTCCGTACAAATGTCCTCCGCAGTTTTCCGATGACTGGCTGAATCCGTATTGGCATTCTATCGAGCCCAAGGGAGGCAAGGATTATCGCTTCATGTATTGGGGCTCTGAAGGGAGCACTACACCTAACCATTTCGATGTTATGATGAGCCATAGCTGGTCTTATAATGTGAGAGGCAGGAAGGCGTGGAAATTTGGGGCGCGCGAGAATTGTAAGGAGCTGAGCATTGAGTTCGAGCAGGGCCCTGGCGAGGTAGTGTTTGTGCCGAGTGGGTGGACTCACAGTGTTGTGAATTTGGAGGAGGACACCATATCGATCAACCATAATTGGTTTTGTGGACCGAATATTCGGCGAGTGTATGCGGCCTTTGAGGCGGACGTGGCGGAGGTGATAAGGAATCTGCATGGATTCGGTGTCACACGGGAGCCTGACACTCAGTGGTATGATGAGCATGTGCAGCTTATTCTGAAGGGTAATGACAGTATGGATATCACTATGTTGGTTGACTGCATATTAATGGGCGTTGAGAAAATGCAAGAAGCTTGTGAGAGTTCTTGGATGAAATACTCTTTGGACCAGGTGAGCGAAGTTGGAGTCGTGGGACGCAGGGCTGAGCCTGTTGTCTTGATGAAAGTCTTTATTGTGAGGGACATAATCACGGTATGGTATTTTGGCTCAGGCGAACATGGTACTGTTGGACATTCTGTCTAAGTATAGATCGATCTTGACCGACACCACCATCGACATTATCAGCAACTTGGGAGATTTTGAAAGCGTTTCTTGTGGTTCCTCGACTATGGCTTCCGAATGATAAGTTCAGCTCTTTCGTTGGTGCTGATGATTAGAGCAATTTCCAACATCCTGCTGTTAGATATTCTTTTTTCGCCTTGTACTATGTCTCCTTGTGTGGAGGTGTCCCCGTGCATATTCATCGTCCTAGGGCTGTGCTACGGTGTCGTACTAGTGGCCATCATCTGTTCCCTCATATCAGTGTATATAAAGCAAGCACAGCCTGTGTGGGTGATCAGTCTAATTTCTGTAGCTCTTGCCTGGCTGGCCTTCGGGGTTGCTTTCAAGTTCGTGTTCTCTGTAAGAGACACAAGGCGTCGCCGACTCGACATTGGGGTGGAGGAGAAGAATACCCAATACGGCTATCAACGAGATTCAACCAGCAGCAGTGCTGATCGCCGCCTTTCATGACACAGTCTTGACTCTCTGAGTGTACCATGGTTCTGTAAGACATGCTGTACCCTTTTGCGTTTTTTCCTGTGATACCCCTGTACTCAGTAAGTCGGGTCGCTCTGATCTGGAGACCTTGGCGCCTCCATTTTCTGGGTGGTCATTGGATCGATCGTGTCGCATATTATGGAGTTGTCCCCTCCCCCCCGAGTGGTGGGGATGTTTGCCTCGGGAGTATTTGAGCTGCATGGGCGATCACTTGTTTCTGTGGGGGGGCGTTCTTGGAATCAACATAGGTGAGTAGTAC